GCTTTTCCTCTTTAAATAAACTCCACCACTTATTCCCTCCTGGTGGCTTTCAAGTCTTTCTTTTCCGCCTAATAATGACGCAGTTTAAAATCCCTGTACCCTCCCAGGTGCTCTGGGAAGCTCCCACCTCATCCCAAACATAACTTGGAGGTGACCTCTGAGCACCCGGAGCAAATGTGGGCTCTGAAGAAATTCTTGGCAGTCTTCCCACAGCTCCCCTACTCCTGAAACGAAAGAATAAAGCCACAACATCCCCTGCATGTGAATTAAAACGGGCTCTATTTACCGCTGCTGCTAATTGAGTTAGATGAACTCCGGGCTGGAGGATAAGCAGAGCCTGCCCCCGGTGCCTGGGTTTGTTCGAATTCGCTGTTCTGGCAAATTCCAGCGGGGCTCACAAGCACAGCATTGGGTCCTGGGCTGCTTCCATCGGCCCTGACGAGGCTGGGCGGGAATTCCGTGGGGAATTTTGGGAATTGTGGTGTGGAAGGGGTGGTGGATCCCCTGCAAAGGCTCCCTCTGGAGCTGGGGTGGCAGCAGTGTCACAGGGGGTGGCACCAGGGATGGCAGCACCTTCTCAGCCCTCATCTCTGCCGGGCAGGACCCGGCCTCACCCTCTGGCTGCTGCAGGATCCGTTCCCTGGTGCCATCCCTGCTGTTCCCACCCCGTGGGGGCACAGCCAGGCAGGCACAGAGGGCACAGCACCCCCCAAAATCTGGGGCAGCCAAGGGCTCCTTGAGGCACAGGACGGAGGTGTGGGTGGGGAAGGAGAGCACACCACCCTCCCTAACCTCACCAAGACAAACTTAATTCAAAAAATTCGGGCAGGAGGCTTCAATAAGCCCAGAGGAGCCTGCCAAGAGTCGCACTCCCCGTGTCCAAGAGCACAAAAGCTGGACATGTAAGACATGAAGAAAGCACTGTCAGGGCAGGCCAGTGCCAGCCAGCAAATCTGTAACAGTGGGAACATGAAATATTAATCACTGGTGCATAAAACAATAGGAAAAAGCTGCCTTTTGGGGCAGTCATCCATCCTCACTCAGCGGGGAACATCAAGAGACACTAATGCCATACAGGTTCTGCTTAAATATCTGCCTGCCCTAATGGTCAAGCGAGAAGCACTCGCTTTGAAGTTGAAAATAGTCTGTAAATGTCTTTTGTGTGAGATGAAACATGATAAGACATGAAACCAGGAGGCTAAACTGTAGTTAATCACGGCGGCTTTACAAGCAACAAATCACTGCTGCAGACAGTCGAGCGCAGGATGGTTTGAAAGGAGCAGCCGCGTGGGGAGAGAGCCCCGGCGGGCATCGCCCTCCGCAGCCCGGGCTTGGCGTGCTGGCACTCCGGGCTGGCCACCGGGGTGGCCACGGGGCAGCCGCGGGGCTGGCAGGATGCTCACGGGGCTGGGAGGGTGCTGGCAGAGCTGGACTGGTGCTCACGGGGCTGGGATGATGCTCAAGGGGCTGGGATGATGCTCATGGGGCTGGGATGATACTCATGGGGCTGGGATGAGGCTCACAGGGCTGGGATGATGCTCATGGGGCTGGGATGATGCTCATGGGGCTGGGATGATGCTCACAGGGCTGGGATGATGCTCATGGGGCTGGGATGATGCTCTCGGGGCTGGGATGATGCTCACAGGGCTGGGATGATGTTCACGGGGCTGGGATGATGCTGGCAGGGCTGGGATGATGCTCACAGGGCTGGGATGATGCTCTCAGGGCTGGCAGGATGCTCTCAGGGCTGGCAGGATGCTCAGAGGGCTGGGATGATGCTCAGAGGGCTGGGATGATGCTGCTGTGGGGTTGGAGCAGTGCTGGGAGGGCTGAACTGATGCTCACAGGGCTGAGATGATGCTCATGGGGCTGGGATGATGCTCTCAGGGCTGGGAGGATGCTCACAGGGCTGGGATGATGCTGGCAGGGCTGGGATGGTGCTGGTGTGGGGCTGGAGCAGTGCTGGGAGGGTTGAACTGTTGCTCTCAGGTCTGGATTGGTGCTGGCAGGGCTGGGCTGGTGCTGGCACAGGGCTGGAGTGGTGCTGGCACAGCCTGGAACATCCTCTGTCACTGTTGAGTCAGGGACAGAAAGAAAGAGTTTGGGCACAGCCTGGAACATCCTCTGTCACTGTTGAGTCAGGGACAGAAAGGAAGAGTTTAGTCTTCAGAAGGTGAATAAAGAACATTTAATAGAGAGTAACACATCTTTTTGTGATGCAACTCACTAAGCTTAGACTTGATTAGTCTCAGAGTAAAAACTTCTCACTCTAATAGTGAATTACGAATAACACACTCTAAAATATATCATAAACAATTTCAAAAAGAGAGATAATAATTGTTTAAATTCTTTTCTTTAAGTTTCTCAGGCTCAGCCTGAGCAAAATGATCTCTGTTCTTTCTTCAGCTAAACTGAGAATATCCACAATCCTCCCTGGCCAGCCCTTCCAGGGGGTGCCGTGGTTTGGGGTCACCCAGCTCCGGGCTGGGTGTGACAGCAGGGCTGTGACTGTCCCCTGCTGGCTCTGTCCCACGGCACAGGGGGGTCAGTGCCACCCCAGGCAGCTCCTGGCACACCCTCAAGGAAGCCACCCTCAAACACCTGGGATGTCTTGGGATGAGGAGGGACAGGGCTCTCCAGGCCCGGAATCATGGAGTTGTCGAGGTTGGAAAGGACCTTTAAGCTCATCAGGTCCAACCAGCACCACCGTGGTCACAACTAACTCACACCCTCAAGGGCCACCATCTCCTCCAGGGCTGCTGACTCCTCCAGGAGCTCCAGGCCTTTAAAATCTCTTCCACGGAAAAGTTTTCCCGTGATCCCACCTAAAGCTCCCGGTGCTGAGCACAGGAACACGCCTGGGACAGGCATTTCCCACCTGGGACAGGCATTTCCCACATCAAAAATGAAGCTGGTGATTCCAGGCGTGATTCCAGGCGATGCTCACTTGGGAGCAGGAGATCAGACCCCAAAGCAAGTGTCTAAGTATGACTGATTAACAACTAAACCCTCACTAATTACCTTAAAAAGTCAGATCTCGACAGCCAGGGAAGGGGGGAAAAAAAAAAAAGGATTAAAATTTTCCTCGGGCTAAACATTTTCCCGGCGTGCTCAGACTCGCTCTGGGTGTCTCCAGTCATTATCTCCCTAATTAACACACACGACAGACCCCAAACAGGCAGAGCTGGGGTTTGGGACAGGGAGGTGAAGCTGTTGTAGCTGGAATAAACCTTGGCTTCTCTGCAGCTGGAAGTGCTGGGACAGGTGAGGTGATGGAGGCTCCTCTCCTCCTGCCACCGGGAAATCACGACGGGGTAGGATTTTTATTCATTTCCATCCCTTTATTTCCTGTAATTAACACAACACCTGCATTTTCACAGCCCCCAAAAGAACCCAAATAATCCCTTAGAAGCAAACTGATGCCAAAGGGCACCAAGGGGGTGGGAGCTGGCACAGCTTGGCAAGAAGGCAAAGTCTGCTGGGAGTGACAGTGCCAGGCTGTGCTCCTGTCCAGAAGGATGTGTAACCCCCCAAAAGTGCTGCTTTGGCCTTTTGGAGCAGGAAAAACCGTGGGTCAGAGGATAAAATGAAATAAAACCACACAAATATGAAAGGAGCCATCCCTGCGATGCAGGGCAGCCGCTGGAAACGCACTGAGAATTCCAGGAGCAGGAAAAACCGTAGATCAGAGGATAAAATTCAGTAAAACCACACAAATATGAAAGGAGCCATCCCTGCGATGCTGGGCAGCCTCTGGAAACGCGCTGAGAATTCCAGAGTGCAGGAGCAGGAGCAGCCAGGCGCTGGCTCCGAGGAGCAGCGGTAATTAGAGCTTCCGAGTGCCTCCAGGTCATTTGCCTTTTCCTCGGATAACATCATTTCTATAGGGCTTGTTGTCTTATTGGAGAATTAATCTAAATCTTGGCGGGCTCTGGATGCTTTGCCGGCGGCTGGAGCCATCCCGGGGAGGGTCAGGGGCAGGTCCCGTGCGTGGCATTCGGGGGGAAAAAAACCCACAAAACTCAGAAGGGAGGTCAGCTGGAGGCTACGGGGGAGGAAATGAGCGATTTCTTAAACAAACAGGGAAGTTTGCGTCGGCCTGGAAACGTAATTTAATTTGTGTCGTTAAAGCTGGGCCGGGGCGGCTGCTCCCGACTGAGGAAAATCCTCTCGTTAAGGCAGAGCTGTCATTAGTGGGATAATTAAAGAAGGGGGAATGGCACAGGGAATGTCCGGGCCGTGCAGTGAGGGGGGAAAAGCAGAATTCCGAGTGCCCCCGGCTGAGTGTGTTCGGGGGATGGGATAATGGGATGGGATAATGGATGGGATGGGATGGGATGGGATGGGATGGGATGGGATGGGATCCATGGGACGGGATGGGATGGGATGGGATGGGATGGGATGATGGGATGGGATTCCTCCTGCGGGATTGTATCCTGAATCCTCAGCACCAGGCGCTGCCTGGAGCTCTCCACCCTCAGGTCTTCAATATTCCTGCTAAAATCCCCTCTCCAGCCAGATTTCCATGAAAATGCCCCACCCCTGTTTAAACCATCCCGGGGGGGTGGTTTTGGCTTCGGGGATATTTCCTTGTTGCTGCAGGGGTGGGTGCAGGGATCCCACAGGAGCATCCTCCTCCTTCCCTTCCCTTCCCTCCCTGGAAGGGTTGGGAAAGGCACTTGCACCCTCCCGTGCCCGCATCCACAAACTGCAAGGCAGCCTGGAATCCCGGCTGGATCCGCTGCGGGCAGGGCAGGGATGTTGGAATCCCGGCTGGATCCCTGGCACGGGCTGCTGGGCAGGGCAGGGATGTTGGAATCCCGGCTGGATCCCTGGCACGGGCTGCTGGGCAGGGCAGGGATGGATCAATCCCAGCTGGATCCCTGGCACGGGCTGCTGGGCAGGGCAGGGCGCCCCCCCCCCCCCCCCAGCCCCCAGCTCCCAGCCAGGGAGCAGAGAGGAACCCAGGGATGCCATTCCCAGCGTGTTCAACACTCCAACACAGTGAATCAGTGCTTTATTTCAGCATGGAGAGACCAGCAGTGAGCTCCAGGGGTGGCAAACCTCGCCTGGTGCCCCTGGATCCGTGGGATTGAGGGAAAACACGTGGAGAGAAAAGGCCCCAAGGTGTCCCCTGAGTGGAGCTGCACCCACAGCGCAGCCCCCAAAACCCCACGGGTCAGCAACAGCCTCTTCCCTCATTAAAGATCCTGGTGTACCCATTCCAGAGGAGGATTTGGCTCCTGGGACAGGCAGGAATGAGGCACTGGAATTCAGCAGAATCAGTGTGGCAGCCCTTGGGAGCACTGAGGCAGCACAGCCACGATTCCCAGAGCCTGAGCGGTGCCAAGCACAGCCCCTGGGCACAGGTCCAGCCTCCCTCCCACAGAGCAGGGCCAGGAGGACTCTGAGTGCCCCTGGAATTGATTGCACAGTGCTGAGTCAGGTGTAAGGCCAGGGCAGAGTCGAGGAGACTGGTGTGGAACCGTCCCTGCAGGGTGGGAGGTGGGCAGGGGGGGAAAACACCTGGATGCTGCCCAGTGGGACCATCAAACATCCCTGCCCCAGCACCCTGGAAGGGTTTATATAGGGCACTTCATAGCATGATCCCAGAATAGCTCCAGGGATTAACCCTGACCCTGAGCTCAGCTAATCCTGCCTCACTCCCTGGGAGTGCCAGCACAGCCTCCTGGACTGAGCAGTGCCTGCCAGGCTCTGGACACTGTCAGCAGCAAAGGCTCCCAGGCTCAGCACAGGCACTGCAGCTCCTGGGGTGGAGCTGGAACAGCCCCAGAGAGGAACTGGGCCAGGGAAACCTGGGGGGAACTGGGCCAGGGAAACCAGGAGAGAACTGGGATAGGGAAACCAGAGGGGAACTGGGCCAGGGAAACCAGGAGAGAACTGGGATAGGGAAACCAGAGGGGAACTGGGCCAGGGAAACCAGGAGAGAACTGGGATAGGGAAACCAGAGGGGAACTGGGCCAGGGAAACCAGGAGAGAACTGGGATAGGGAAACCAGAGGGGAACTGGGCCAGGGAAACCAGGAGAGAACTGGGATAGGGAAACCAGAGGGGAACTGGGCCAGGGAAACCAGGAGAGAACTGGGATAGGGAAACCAGGGGGGAACTGGGATAGGGAAACCAGGGGGGAACTGGGCCAGGGAAACCAGGAGAGAACTGGGATAGGGAAACCTGGGGGGAACTGGGATAGGGAAACCTGGGGGGAACTGGGACAGGGAGAACCTTGACAGGGAAACCAGGGAGGAACTGTCACAGGGAAACCAGGGGGGAACTGGGATAGGGAAACCAGGAGAGAACCGTGACAGAGAAACCAGGGGGGAATTGGAGCAGGGAAACCAGGAGAGAACTGGGATAGGGAAATCAGGGGGGAACCGTGACAGAAATCAAGGGGAACTGCAACAGGGAAAACAGGGGAACCCTGAGAGGGAAATCGGGGAATAAAACCCTGACAGGGAAATCAAGGGGAAACCGTGACTGGGAAATCAGGGAATAAAACCTTGAGGGGAACCCTGAGAGGGAAATCGGGGAATAAAACCTTCACAGGGAAATCAGGGAATAAAACCCTGACAGGGAAATCAAGGGGAAACTGTGACCAGGAAATCAGGGGCAAACTTGGACCAGGAGCATCCCTGGGGTTGCTCCTGCTGTGGGTCCCCTTGGCAGACAGTGCATCCCAGGCAGTGGAGGCAGGATTAGCCCAGGGCAGTGGCAGGTGAAGCAGCTCACTTACTTCTCCTTCAGGTCAGCTTTACCTAAAAACAGGGAGGAGCAATCAGGGCTCGTGTTTCTTCCTCCAGAACATCCAGCCCTTTTTATTTGGGGGTTTTGCTACACATGATCCCCACCACCACAGCCTGACCAGCAGGCCAGCAGCTCATGGTGTGCTGCTGCCTGGAATTTGAGGCCTTTCCACCTTTCCTTGGGAGTTTTTCCTTTCACAACTGTTTCTTCCTCCAGAACATCCAGCCCTTTTTATTTGGGGGTTTTGCTACACATGATCCCCACCACCACAGCCTGACCAGCAGGCCAGCAGCTCATGGTGTGCTGCTGCCTGGAATTTGGCCTCCTGAGGCCTTTCCTTGGGAGTTTTTCCTTTCACAACTTCCCCAGGGAGTGCCAGCAAACCCCCCCAGCCCCTCAGTGCCAGCACAGAAACTCCCTGCCCTCGCTCTGCACCCCCAGAGAAACCCCCCAAAACTCAGCCACCCCTCAAAGCCACGGAGTCCTGGGTGCTGCTCAGAGCCAGGAGCTGGGCAGAGTGAGCTGGATTTACCCCAGGAGCTCCAGCTGGGCTCAGGGAGCCCCGAGCTGGGCAGAGTGAGCTGGATGTACCCCAGGAGCTCCAGCTGGGCTCAGGGAGCCCCGAGCTGGGCAGAGTGAGCTGGATGTACCCCAGGAGCAGCTCCCTGGCCTTATCAGCCCGGCCAGGGCTGCTGCAAGCAGTGCAGCACTCACAGCATGCCCAAAACCAACTCCCTGCGCCTGGGACAGGGGCCAAGCCACCTCTGGTACCTTTGGGGACGAACTTCAGCGAGCTGCTGAATATTCAGAAGCGGGACTGGCCCCTCTTGGGGCCATCGTTGAGGAACTCGTGGCCCAGCCCGTTGCCACACTTGCCACACGTCACCTGGGGAAGGAAGGAGAGGGGTTGGCAGCAATGTGGCTTTCCAGGGGCTCACGGAGAGCCAGCCCCGGGTGGTTTTGTCCCAGCCCCGGGTGTTTTTGTCCCAGCCCGGGGGTGTTTTTGTCCCAGCCCGGGGGTTCGGGGGTCGCACCTTCAGCGCCCCCGGGCGCTCCTCACGCTTGGCCACGCTGTCCCCGCGCAGGGTCTCGGTGAAGGCTGGCCACGGCGACGAGTGCTCGTACTTGGCCCGGCTGGAGAACAGCTCATGGCCACACTTGGCACACACGTAAATACCTGCGGGGAGGGCACGGCGGGGGGACAGCGCGGGGACACGTCAGCGCGGGGACACGGGAGACCCGCGGGCTGCCGGACCCCCGGGCACCCCTAGGGAACCCCCAGGGCATCCCCAGGGAACCCCCAGGGAACCCCCAGACCACCCCCAGGGAACCCCCAGGGCATCCCCAGGGCATCCCCAGAGCACCCCCAGGGAAGCCCAGGGCACCCCCAGCGCGGGGACACGGGAGACCCGCGGGACAGCGCGGCTGCCGGACCCCCGGGCACCCCTAGGGAACCCTCAGGGAACCCCCAGGGAACCCCCACACCACCCCCAGGGAACCCCCAGGGCATCCCCAGGGCATCCCCAGAGCAACCCCAGGGAAGCCCAGGGCACCCCAGGGAATCTCAGGGCACCCCCAGGAAGCCCAGGGCACCCTCAGGGCCAGGCAGGGGGTGGAGGGGCAGCACCCCCACTCCCCACAGGGGTTCCCGCAGGGCAGATCCCCACAAGGGGCTCACACAGGGACCGAACCCCCGTGTCCCTATCGGGACCCTCCACCCTGTCGGGAGGACCCCAGCAAGCACCGCAGAGGGGGGACCCCCGCCCGGACCCTCGGCTGGAGGATGCTCGGCAGAAGGAAACCCCCCTAAAGCCCCCCTCAACCGCTCACCCGGAGGGGGAAGAGATTCTGGGGGGGGACACCCCCTGCCCGCCCCGCTGGGGACCCCCCGGGGCCCGCGGGGAGCGCCCCTCACCCGGCTGGAAGTGATCCTTGAATACCTCTCCCCCCAGGAAGGAGCAGAAGGACATGGCTGCGCCCGCCGCCCGTTCCGTTCCGTTCCGTTCTGTTCCGTTCCGTTCTGTTCCGTTCCGTTCCGTTCCCCGGCCGCGCCTCCGCCACGCCCATCCACCGGGCCAGCCCCGTGTCCCTCCCATCCACCGGTCCAGCCCCGTGTCCCTCCCATCCACCGGGCCAGCCCCGCGTCCCTCCCATCCACCGGGCCAGCCCCGTGTCCCTCCCATCCACCGGGCCAGCCCCGCGTCCCTCCCATCCACCGGGCCAGCCCCGTGTCCCTCCCCGGTCCCTCCCCGGTCCCTCCCCGGTCCCTCCCCCGGTCCCGCCCCGCCGCCCGCAGAGGGCGCTGCGGGCCCGGCGGTACCGGCGCGGTCCCGGAGCGGTCCCGGTACCGGGGGGACCCCGCTTCGAACCCCTCCGTCATCCCCCGGGACCCGCAGCTCGGGCAGCCCCGGCGGGGGCAGGGGGGGCTCGGGGCTGCGGATGCTCCGGTACCGCCGGTGCGAGCGGGGCGGGCGCCAGCCCGGCTCTGGGCATCTGCAACCGGCAGCGGGACCGCGGCGGGGCTGCCGGTACCGGCTCTTCACCGCCGGTACCGCAACCGGCGCCGCTCCGGCGCTGCTATCCCGGCACCGGCATCGCTCCTTGGATCCCGGCACCAGGACCGACCGGCCTCACTGACACCGGCACCGGCACCGGCACTGGCGCGGGCACCGGCTCTTCTTCCCCGGTGCCCCCGGTACCGGGACTGACCCCCCGTTATCCTCCCCCGGCGCTGGGACCGCTCCGATTCCCCGGCACTGCTCGTCCTTCCCTCCACCGGGACCGACCGACCCCTCCCGGCTCCCCGGCCCCCCCGCCTGCCGCAGGTACCGGCGCTGCGGGGCCCCGGGCCGGGCGGCGGGGCCGGGCAGCCCCGGTGTCCCCAGCAGGGTTGGGGGCGGATGGGACCGGGGGTCCCTCAGGCGCTCCGGGGATGGGTGCGGGCACCCCAGGGACCACCCCAGGGACCACCCTGTCCCGGGAGAGCAGAGCGGGGTCACCCGGGGGGATGCGGGGTCTGACCGGGGCCCGTGGTGGGTTCGGGGGTCCCGGGGAGGAGGAGGAGGCGACAGCCCGGCATGTGGCAAGGTGAGGGCTTTGAAGGTGAACCTGGGCAGGTTCCAAAGGGGCTGAGCTGCTGCAGCTCCCTTCTCCTTCCTGAGATCAGCACCGCAAATCCCTGCTCGGGTAGTTTATCCAAAACCTCTCTCCCGGATGAGTCCCCGGGCTTAGGCTCTGCTGGAAGCGGCACCTTCCTCGGTGGAAGAGGGAAAAAAAAAATAAAAAAAATCTTGGTGCCCTTTGGACAAAACGCGGGGTCTGGCTGTGCTGCCCTGGCCCTGCGCTGGGATGGATCCCGGCTCCCGAATGCCGAGGGACGCGCCCGGAGCTGCCCCGGGGCTGCGGGACCCCGGCGTGGGGCTGCCCTCTGCATGCTGCCGCTTTGAATTAGCTCAGGCTTCATCCCGGGCGGGCTGAGCTCCCGCCGCAGCCCCGCGATTGATGAGCCGGGGCAGGGGGAGGAAGGGGCTCCGCACGGCCGGGGACCGCACGGGAGGGAGGAGGAGGAGGAGGAGGAGGAGGGGGAGGAGGGGGATGCGCTGCTTTGAAAGCGCCTCCCGTAAGATCCACCGAGATCAGAGGAGCGGGATGTCAGGGAAAGCTGCAAATAGACTCCAGGGCCCCGCGCACCTCAGGGGTGTGGATTTGCAGGCGGTGGAAGGAGCTGCAGCTGCCAGGAGCTCTCGGCAGCATCATCCATGGGATAACTGCTGCTCCCTGCAATTCCTGCGGCGAGGCTGTGCCGGCGGGAATGGGATGGATGTGGGAAGTGGCTGGGTCCTTCCCCATGGCTGAGAGCCCCTGGAAGACGAGCAGAGACTGGGAATGGCTGAGAACGGGAGTGAGGCAGAGCCCAGAGAGAGGCAGGGCTGGGCTCCAGCCCTGGGATGCACAGGACAGGCTTTGGGAGTGGCTCCTGGGGCTGGCAGGCTCTCAGGCATTCCAAAGCCCGCCTGGCTCCTTGCTCCCCCAGCAGCACAAAACCCGCTCCAGGATCCACCAGTAAAACCCCTGTGATGTGGAACTGGGAGCAGAGGATGGAGCTGGGATCCCACACTGCCACCCCGCTGGCCAAAGTTACATCTGAGCTTGCAGAATTCCCTCAAAGCCACCCCAGTGCTCCCTGATCCCGGGATAATGCAGGGACAGAGTCACAGCCGGGCTCTGTCACGGTGTTTTGTGCAGATAATTAGAGAGGGATTTCCAGCTCCTTTGGCTGGCTGAGGAAAGCGCTGCTGTGGTGCCACGTCCCCGCCAGCAGCACCACTGCCACCCTAATTAACCACCGAGGACTGAGGGAAGTTAATGAAGTTGATATTTCAATTAACTCCCTGATCCTACAACCAAAGCAAAGACCAAGCAGGCGGTGCCCCCCCGGGAGCTCCCACCGTGCCAGGCTGCTGCCATGTGAGGGAATGTTCCAGGGGGAGGCACTCCAGGACACCAGCCCAAGCTGGGTCACAGCTTGTCTCTGTCAGGTCGTGTCAAGCCCTGAATTTGAACCAAATCTGGGAGCAAGGAGTGGAATTTTGGAGCTGGAATCCAGGGAGAGGCTCACTGATGGCCATGGCCCTGGTGTGTGCACACACAGCAAGGGGGGACATTGTCATTAGGGGCTCTTGTGGCCCTGCCCTGCACAGATGTGACTGTGCTGGGCTGGGTGTCCCTCAGCAGACACCCCACTCAGCCCCATCCTCCTCAGGGATGTCCTGGCAGGGGTGGCATCACCCCTCCAAAGCCACCATCACCCCACTGCCCCGTGACCCCACCGAGCCCACCCAGCTGCCCCCGTGACAACACTTGCAAGGACCTTCATGTCTGATTTATCCTGCAAAGAGCACAGAGATGCCCCTGATCCTGCAGGGCCACAGCCTGGGGACCAGCTGCAGGCTGGGAGGGGCCGTGCTGGGGCACCTCCACACTCAGTGCTGGCTCTCTGGAGCCTGAGGAGCAGCAAAGCCTCCCCCAAGGGTGCTGCTGGTCCAGCCAGGACAGCCAGCAGGGTCTGTCCTGCTGTCCCCACCCTCCCCAGAGGTGACTGCAGCAGCAGCGTAGCCCCCTCTGTACTCACCATCCCTGCCAGAGGAGAACTCCCATACAAACCCAGGCTATTATTATCTCTGTCTTCCACGGTGCTAATGGTCTCTCAGGAAACAGACTACAAAAAACATTTTTTTTTTTTTTTTTCTTTTTTTTTTTTTTTTTTTTTTTTTTTTTTTAGCTTTTAAAACCCACGAGTACGGGAGCGGTGGGAACGGAGAGCTGGGCACAGTGGAGTGGGGCACAAGGAGCACCAAGGCCAGCACTGGGGAGACACTGTCACCCTGACCTGGCAGGGACCCGCCGAGCACCAGCCCAGGGGCGTTCTGGTAGGAGCAGCCAGGGGTGCTGGGCAGTACTGGGCATACTGGGGATACTGGGCATGCTGGGGATACTGGGCATGCTGGGCACACTGGGCATACTGGAAGTGGGTGTGATGGGGCCACTGGGAGCCCTGCATGGTGAGGGCATGGTCCAGGCTGCAGTGCTGGGTGGGAGGTGGGCAGGGCCCTGTCCAGTGTCAGGGGAGGGCTCACAGAATCCTTGGAATCACAGAACCATGCAATGCTTTGGGCTGGAAGGGACCTTAAAGGGGCGCCTTCCCCTGGAGCAGCTTCCTCTCAGGCCCTGCTCACTCCTCCTTTGGCTGTTTTGGTGCCTTGCTGGTGGTGCCAGCAGTGCCACCAGCACCAGCCAGGCTCTGTGCCAGGGGCTGGGACCACCGGGACAACCACACGTGGCTGATCTGGGGTTAACAAGTGGCTCCTGCAAAGGAGAAGCGAAGCAAGAGCTGAGATTATATAAAGGGGGCTGGAGGCAGCTGCGGCACAGGCTGTGATTAATTCCTGGCACTGAGGAGCTCTGGAGATCCAGGGCGGCAGCCCCGGGGTCCCTGGGATGCATTCCTGCTGCTGCTGCAGGGCTGCTGTGAGGGGAAGGGGGCAGGGAGGGGCTGAGCACCCCAGGGACTCGCTGGGAGCTGACCCAGCACCGCGGTGGCCCGTCCTGCAGATCCCTTCTCCCTCCCAAAATCACAAAGGGGACATGGATCAGAGCGGGTCAGCCACGGCTGGGGCAGGAGAGCAGCAGGGAGGGGTGGTGGTGGCTGCTGGGGACAGGACAGGGGACAGGACAGCACTTCTTTGAGGTGGACCCCCTCAGGACAATGGAAACTTCGTGTTAGAAAAACTTTTGTCCTCTGCACCCCCAGTGAAGCCAGAGATTGCTGCCTGGGCACTGGGGCTGCAGCTTGGCCTGGCTCCCTTTTGGATCCATGCAGTGCTCGAAGCAGGGGCCAAACCATGAACTTTTAGAGGAGTCAGGGAGTCCTGCCCGCTGGCCTGGCAGCCCTGGGCTGGCACTGGGAGCAGTGGAATATCCCGGTGTGGAAAATCCCCCTGTTTGGCAGCTCCATTGCCCGGCTGGGGTTGATCCTCCTTGGACACGCGTGTTCCCACATGCAGCCACGGAGCTCAGCCCAGGAGCCATCCCAAAACAGGCTGGCAGGCGGGGTGAGGGTCCGGGAGATGCCCCGGGGCGATGCCCACGGGGAGGCAGGAGCGGAGCAGGGATGTTCTGTGCCCGCGGTGACACGGGGCCCTTCCAGCTGTGACCGCTGCTTCCCTGCCCCTCGGCAGTGCCGTCGGCGATGCGAGCGATGGCAGACCAGGCTGCGGTGGCAGCAGACGCCTCTCCAGCCCTGGCACCGAGCCCGGGCTCGCCTCGGCGTGGCGACATCGAGGGACCAACGCCGCACGCCGGCGGCACCGGGGAGGACGGAGGCGGCCGGGATGGTTGCGGGCTCCTTCCCACGGCCGAGGGGGACACGAAGCGTCCCCCCTCGCCCCAGCCCGGGGGGATGCTCCTGGCCGACCTCCCGCGGGCTCCCCATCCCCGGCTGAGCCCGGCCAAGTCGCGCACGGCTCCGTCGTCGCCCAGCGTGTCGCCGTCGGAGAGCCGAGCCGCGCTGCTCCGGCTGCGCGACGCCAGGCTGGAGGACACGAGGAGGCGGCTGTCGGAGGCCGTGCAGGAGCCCCTGAGCCGCCTGAGCCGCCTGATGGCCGAGGACAGCAGCCCCACGGGCCGGGCCAGGGAGCCGGGGGGCAGCCCCGGGGGCAGCCGCGGGGCCGGGAGCCGCCGGGGGCTGCGGGACTGGACACCCTGGGAGCCCACGCTGAACTGCCGCTACGAGATCTGCTCCTACGGGGACGTGATCCAGGTGGTGGAGGTGGCGCAGAGAGACACGGAGCCCCCGCTGGCAGCGGCCGAGGAGCCGGCGGCGGCGCGGTCCGGGGGCTCCGTGCCGGGCAGAGCGCTCGCCTCCATCGCCCTCCTCGCCTACGGCTACCTGGTGCTGCCGCTGCCGCCCTACGCCGCCGGGCTCTGCGTGGGGCTGCTCTGCGGGATGCTGCTGGGCTTCCTCGCCATCCTCCTCCTCGTGCCCAAGGCTCCGCCGGCCGCTCGGGGACCGTGGGGCCGCCTGCGCCCCAAGCTGCTGCCGGGGGAGCCGAGGGAAGCCCCCCACCTCCAGGTAGGAGAGGGGTGGTCCGGGATGAGGGGCTGGAGGTGTCCGTGGTGAGTGGGAGCAGCCGGGCTTCCCGCTCCCCGTTTTCCAGGGCTGGATGAACCAGCTGCACGTGTACGACCCCGAGCTTTTCCACCCGTCGCTGACGCACTCGGTGCTCGCCGTGCTGGACGGGGCCACCCTCAAGCTGTCCTACCCCAAGAGCAACATCCCGCGCCGAGCCACCTTCGAGGAGGACATCCTGGACGCCGTCTTCGTCAGCCACCGCTGCTACGACCTGACGGACGCCAAGGTGAGCCCGGAGGTCCCCAGGAGCCTCCCCCGGGGACCCCCCGTGCCCGGCCCGGGCTCACCCCGCTCTCGGTGCTGCAGGTCTTCCTGTGCCCCCCCAGCCTGGCCCGAAAGCGGACGTGGAACAAGAAATATCCCATCTGCGTGCTCCTCGCCCAGCCGGCGGAGGGAGAGGGCAGCGAGGAGCGGGACGCGGAGCCGCAGGGGGAGGAGGGGACCAGGAAGGTGGCGGTGGCCGGGCAGGGCGTCCCGGGGGACGGCAGGGACAGGTGCCTGTACCTGTTTGGGCGGACGGGGCGGGAGAAGGAGGAGTGGTACCAGCACCTCGTGCAAGCCTCCCGTGGGACAGCCAGCAGCCACGGTGACACCAGGGCAGGTGAGGGGCAGCCACCACGGCCTCTGCTCTGGGCCAGGACTGATCCAGGAGCACGGTGCCTTGGTGGGCAGCAGTGAGCGTGGAGGGACATGGAGGAGCCCAGAGTGTAGCCAAGAGGGTTCAGCTCGTCAGCACAGCAGGGGTGGCACGTCACTGGTGTCATGGACAGGCACCATGTCACCCCTGGTGCCATCCTGACCAAACAGAGTGGATATGAGGAACAATTCTTTCACGGAAAGGGCTGTCCAGGCCCAGGGCAGGGGTGGAGTGCCCATCCCTGGAGGGAGTTAAAGCCACATGGATGTGGCACTTGGGGACACGGGTTGGTGCTGGCCTGGGCGGTGCTGGGGCATGGTTGGGCTGATGACATTAGAGGGGTTTTCCAAGTGAAATGATTCTGTGATTCCACATGCCCAGGCACGGGATGGGCTCCGCAGAGCAGCGGCAGCAGCAGCGGGGGCAGCACCGAGGACATCCCAGCCACGGATCCCTCCAGGGACACGTCGGGAAGCACTGAGGAGATTTACCTGGACTATAACACCTACATGGCCCGGTTTGTGCCAGCACAGGGGGCAGGCAGCCCGGAGAGGAGCCCCTCTCATGGAGCTCTGGGCAGCCCCACGCCCACAAAGGTGAGTGGGACAAACCCAGCCCTGGGAGCGGGGCTGGAGGCTGATGGAGCCGCTTCCAGTGTGTGGTTTGAGCAGCCGAGCCCTGGGGCAGGGAGCACAGGACAGCAGGTCCCACTGCTCACGGGGCCACCTCGCTGCAGGGGCTGGCAGCTGCTGTCCCCTCCCACGAGGACACGGCGAGCATGGCCTGGATGAACGCGCTGGTGGGACGCATCTTCTGGGACTTCCTGAGGGAGCAATACTGGGCAGAGCAGGTGTCCAACAAGATCCAGAAGAAGCTGAGCAAGATCAAGGTGAGAGGCAGGAGCATCAGGTCACTCGGGGGAGCCCTGCTCCCAAGGCCCCACGGCGAGTGGTGACTGTCCACCGTGGGGGTTCCCTCCATCAGCTCCCGTATTTCATGAACGAGCTGACGCTGACAGAGCTGGACATGGGCACATCCATCCCCTCAGTGCTCAGTGCCTCCAACCCCACCATCAACGAGCGAGGTAAGAGCCCCACGGAGGGACAGGGACCCCAGTGCTGGCTCCAGGATGGCTTTACAGAGCTGCCAGCCCGGCGCCCAGAGCTGGAGGACTTGGCAGTGCACAAGCAGCTCTGAGCCCCGTGGTGCTGACCTGATCTCGCCCTGTCCCTCTCCCTGGCAGGGCTCTGGGTGGACATGGAGGTCACCTACAGCGGCTCCTTGCAGATGACACTGGAGACGAAGATGAACCTCAGCAAGCTGGGGAAGGAGAGCTCTGCAGAGGAGAGCGGCCCTACAGAGGCAGGCAGAGAGGGGTAAGAAATGTGCCCATGGATGGGCTCATCCTGCTCCTCCTGCCCCAGTGGGGCGAGGCCGCTGTCCCAGAGCAGCCTGTGATCTCCTGGGGCTCGCAGGGCCAGGCCACGGCTGATCCTGCTGGCAGACAGCGACGCGGAGTCGTCCAGCGCCGGCTCCTCCGACGAGGAAGACGGCACCGGTGCAGAGCCCCTGGGAGCCCCGGGGGAGCGGCTCCCCCCGCCTGGCACCGAGGGGTACGGGGGTGCTGGGGGTCTGTGCCACGGGGGGCACGGGGAGGGGCTGGGGACGCACGGTGCCACGTCAGCACGGGGGCATTGGGACAGTGTCCCCGGCAGGACGCACACAGCACATCGTGGCAGCCTCCAGAGGGGACTGTGTCCCTGTAGGGTGCTGTGACAGAGGGCTGGGGGACCCCAAAAACCAGCAGGGCTGAGCTGGCGCCCCTCTTGCTTTAGGCACGTCAGCGGGAACAGCACGAGCAGGAAGATCCTGCGCTTCGTGGATAAGATCGCCAAGTCCAAGTACTTCCAGAAGGCCACGGAGAACGAGTTCATCAAGAAGAAGATGGAGGAGGTGTCCAACACGCCGCTGCTGCTGACGGTGGAGGTGCAGGAGCTGGCAGGAACCCTGGCCGTGAACATCCCCCCGCCGCCCACCGACCGTGTCTGGTACCAGCTCTCCTTCCCCCCAGCACATCCTGCTGCCAGAGCCCCCTGCGAGCAGCCAGCCCCAGGGCTTTGGGCTCATCCTGGCACCAACAGCCCAAGGCTGCTCCCCAAAGGGGCGCACAGACCTCAGGCTCGATGCTCTGAGGCTGCACCCAGGCCAGCACAGATCTGGGGACTCTGAGCTGTCACCTCCTCCCTAAAAGCCAGCAGTGGCTGTGATCATCTTTGGCAGGTGATGCTTTCTGCCTGTCTCCTTTCCCCTCGCAGGTACAGCTTCCGAGTGCCCCCGCAGCTGGAGCTGAAGGTGCGCCCCAAGCTGGGCGAGCGGGAGGTGACATTCCTGCATGTCACCGAGTGGATCGAGAAGAAGCTGAAGCACGAGTTTCAGGTGCCTGGGCTGCTGCTCAGGGGCTCAGCAAAACCCTGCTGAGGCTTGGGCATTGCTGCCATCGGGGAGAGTCAACCTCAGTTCGGGCCAGTTGTTTCTGCAAAAAGCCAGCCCCTGGTCTGGTCTGGCCAGCTTGGAGCAGTGAAGATGCAGAACCCAAATAACCAGCTCAAGGGCTGAGGGAGAGTGATTTCCTCCCATCATTTGCAGGGAGGGTTTGGGGTGTCAGGCAGTCCCAGGCAGACACCCCCCAGAAGGGCTGAATCCACCTGGCCATTCTGGTTTGGGGATGTTTGGGAGATTTGCCTTCCCAAGGGTTTGTGTTCAACCTCTCACCTCTGCTCAAAGAGCAGAAATGTCCCCACACATACTTAGGGCCCCCCAAAAGCCACCCATTTGGATAGTTTCAAAATGCTTGTCCCTCCCCTCTGCTGTGACCACCCCTGCAGCCATTGAGGTGGCCAGGGCAAAGAAAAACTGTCCCTGCTTGTCCCCACCCTGATCCAGAGCTGGGACCCTCCTGGGGCTGCTGCTGTAGGGGTGGGAGCCCAGAACCTCCAGTTCACAGCCCTGGTCCCTGACCTGGGCCTGGCTCCTGCCAAGCCACCTCCAGGAGTGTCCTCGTGGTGTTCAAACCCACTGATTTGTTATTCTGGCTTCCTCTTTGTAGAAAATTTTGGTGATGCCAAACATGGACGATCTCATCATTCCCATCATGCGCTCTGGCCTGGATCCTTGGCCCCCCTCCACAGGACTGCCCCGGGACCCGCCAGCTGAGGGGGACAGGAGGCTCTGAAGCACAACTCCAGGGGCAGGGACACTGCCCAGGGCTCAGGGACCTCGCTGGGACACGGGACAGCCGGGCCTGGCCACTGCCTGCACCCAGGGCTGTGCCTGGATTCATCCTCATGCTCTGCTTCTGCAGATGAGCCTCCTGAAATCCTGCAAGCACACCTCCGGGGCACAGCCAGGCTGCTGGAGACCCAGGAATCCCACGGCCACGCTCCAGGACTCCTGGTCAAGCAGGCAGCTCTGCACAGTGGAGGGCTGGGCTTCCCACTGTCTGGTTCCAAAGAGGGTGCAGGACACCTGGATCATGGCACCGAAGGAGTTGGGATCACCGCTGATCCAAAATTCCCAGCTCCGGGCCATCCCCCCTCCCCACAGGCAGCTGGGCTGCAAGGCAAGCACGGGTGGGGAGGGTCCCAGGTGAATAAATCCATCGCTGCCCAGCCCTGCCTAGCAGCCCTCTTGTTGTGCACAAATTCCCACCTCTGCCAGGGTTCCAGCCAGGATCAGGGGGCTTTGAGTAGGGAGAAGGGTTGCACCTTCAGCTTGGCAAAGGCAGAGCTGGAGGTGTGTGGGAGGGGCACTGAGGGGACAGGCAGGGAGCCTGGGCAGAGCCAGGTCTTGGGCAGGCCCAGTATTCCCAGTGGAAACCGGGGCAGAAGTGCTGGAACGTGCTCTGCTCTCTGCTGGGTGAGAGGGAGGGGAGACTCCGTGGTGATTTGGGTGAGAGGGAAAAGTTCACTGAGGAAAGGAAAGGGAGGATCCAGAGGGCACAGCAGGCACTTGGCTGTCCCAGTTAGTCCCTGTCCATGTGTGACAGTCCCAAATGCCACTTTTCCCATCCCCACCTGCTGAGGAGCCTGAGAACAGGCAAGAGACCCCTCCAGAAGGAGAGAGGAGCAGGCATGGCTTGGAGCCCTTTTATTGCAAGTGCCCAGCCAGGCAGCCTTGGATCTCTGTCCTTAGAGCTCTTCCTGCACACCTGGCTTCTCCTTCACCAAATGTTTCTTCTGGGGGCCCTGGAAGAGAGCAGAGAGGAGAATTTGGATTTAGGGACACACAGACCTGGCCTGCATGGCTGTGTCTGGGTTGTGGCAGCCAGAAAGGCAGCTCAGGCCAGCAGATGAAAAATGGAGTTATCCCACAGCAAATCAATCCTATGGGAGCAGCTGGCAGGAATTACTTATGTCCCTCAACTTCCAGAAAAAATACCACAGAATCCATGGGATAAAATGGCAAAGAAAAGAGCTGCAGCCAGGTCAAACCTCCTCCTGTCACCGAGCTCCTCGTCACAGCAGCTCAGGGCTGGCAGTGACACAACAGGCTCCTGACACTGAGCTGAAGGAAATCAGCTTAACCTCTAAAGAGCTCTGCAAAGGCAGTGCCTAACCAATCCCCCTGCCAGCACTAAGGAGGCTTAGCCAGCTTCACATGGCATTTCTGGCTGGCAGGCCAGATCCAGACCCAGTTCACGTCTGCGTGGGACACAGGCAGTGGTTTCTTTCCCTTCTCCCTCTCCCTCTCCTGGTTTACTCAGTGCTTCCTCCTCTTCAGACTCAGACTCACACCAGCCTGGAGAAGGCTGCAAAACTCTTCAGGAAACTGCTGTGTTTGGATTATTTAATTATATTGGTTTTTGCCCTGGATTTAAGAAAAATATACTGCTTGGCCTTCTTGAAAGCTTCTGACAAAAGCACCACAAATTTGCATCTGAATTTGACCCAAACTTTTTTTCCTCTGAGAACATTAAAGCTATAAATCATTCCAAACAAATCAAAGCAGTGCACAATCCCAAGTGAAAGGCACCATATGGCCAAGACAGTGCCTGCCAAGTTAACTGCTTGTTTAAAACTTCCCATGGTGAATGGGAACTGGTTGCCCATATGGTCTTTTATTTGCTGGTTGAGTTGTCTTGGATCACTCACACAACCATCCTGTTCTTCTTTAGCATCATTTCTGCTCTGTGAACTGAATTCATGGCTGCCTTTAGGCAAGAGTCTCCCAACATTCACTTGGCTGTTGTTGTATCAAGAAACACACCACAGAATCGTGGAATCAGAGAATCCTGGGATGGTTTGGGTTGGAAGGGAACATAAAACTCATCCAGTTCCACCTCCCTGCCCATGGACACCTGGAAGAGGCTTGGTTGGAGTCAGTCAGTTGCTGTGGCCCCCTGAGGAGCTGGAGGCAGCCCGAGGAACTCACCATGAAAGCTCTCTTCTCCTGAGCTGTCTGGAAGCGGCCGTGGCCGAATTTGGAAGTGGTGTCAATGAATTTGAGCTCGATGGCTTCATGGGCCCGGCGGCTCGTGTGCACCAGGAGGGACTGGGAAAGAACAGCCACAACATCAGGAGAACGGTCACAGAACGTCAGGACAGCTGGTCTCATGGAAGCAGGGTTGGAATGTCCTCTAAACAAATATCTCCTCAAAAATCTGTGTTCTCAGAGCAACACCCTGGTGCTCAGGTGGTGGAGAGCTTGCAGAGCTGCTCTTTGCTCAGCGTTTCGCAGAATTATGACAGAATGACAGAATCACAGGATCAACCAGGCTGGAAAAACCTCTGAGATCACCAAGTCCAACCTATGACCTGACCTTGTCACCCAGACCATGGCACTGAGTGCCACATCCATCCACCAGGGACTCCACCACCACATCCCTGGGCAGCCCATTCCACTGTCACCTTTCTGCGACAACCCAAGGTTTCATTTCTGAAATGAACCACAGCCCCCAGAGCTCTGAAGCTCTCCAGCTCCATCCACCTGCTGACACTGCACCAAGGACCCACCCAGTGTCCCTGCCCAGCACTTGGAGGGTTCTCCAGGTGGGGAATGTGCTCCTGGGGAGCTGCAGCCCATCCCAGCCTGGAGCTCTCACCTTGCGCAGGGTGAGCACGCGCTTCCTGGTGCCCACCACGCAGCCCTTCAGCATGAGGAAGTCATTGTTGACCTCTCCATAATGAGGGAAACCACCCTGTGGGGAGAGCAGAGAGGTTGGTGGGCAGGAGAGCTGGCTGGGAGAGTCGGGGGGGCACAGCCCTGTCACCCCTCAGCCCTCACCAGAGGCGTGATGGTCTTCTCGGTGATGTCGTAGTGCGTCGAGGCGTTGTTCCTCACCACTTTGCCATCCTCCACGTGGATCCCGTGGCCAATGCGGTAAATCTGGGAACACACAGGCAGTGGAGATGGAGACTCTCCTGCCCCTTGCTGAGGAGCTTCCCGGGCTGCCAGAATCCCCCACAGATTCACGTGGTTTTCACCACGCTGTGCCCTCGAGCAGCAGAAAACCACCAGGAAAGACATGGAGATGTCCAGGGAAACATCCGTGAGGATGCAGGGAGCTGAGGGCACCGTGGGGAGGAGGATGTGACAGGATGGGAGGCCTGAGGGAGCTCCCCTGGGCCATACCTTCTTGTTGATCTCGGTGCGGTGGTGGTAGCCCTTCTGGCCAGCCCGGGCGATGGAGTAGCCCACGCGGGCCGGGTGCCAGGCCCCGATGCAGGCCACCTTCCGCAGGCCCTTGTGTGTCTTCCTGGGCAGCTTCTTGGTGTGCCAGCGGCTGGTCACCCCTGGGAGCGTGGGGACAGAGGGCAGGGTCAGCAGGCAGGGCTGGGGCTGGGGAAGGGCAGTCCCATGGCTCTCCAAGGGATATTCCCATGGCTCTCCTGAGGAACATGCACTGAGGGACTGTCCCATCACTCTCCTGAGGGACAGTCCCATGGCTCTCCTGAGGGACAGTCCCATCGTTCTCCTGAGGGACAGTCCCACCACTCTCCTGAGGGACATTCCCTGAGGGATAATCCCATCATTCTCCTGAAGGACAGTCCCATGGCTCTCCTGCAGTTCTCACAAGAGGCCGTGTTGGGAGGAGATCGGGAGCTGTTCTCACTTCCCAGGGCTCTGATCAGACCAGGAGGTGTTCCATGCACACACCCAGGGACACCCAGAGCCCTGCACATGTGGGGTTTGTGAGACACACACCATCACAGAGCGGTTTGGACTGGAAGGGACCATAAAGACCATCCAGTTCCAATTAGACATCTCCCATTAGACCTGGTTGCTTTATCTACTGACAGTACCTCTGAGCCTCCTGGGAGGAGGCCTTCACTGGCCTTAATCTCAGGGAAACTTTCCACCACAGGTTACCTTGTCAGCTCCTCTGTATCTGCATCAGAGGTGCCCCTGTTGAGTTCTTCCCTTGCTGGAATCCCTGAGAATAAGGAAACCGAGCCCTGCCACAACAGAACTGGATGTCCTGCTTAAGATCCTGAGGATTTTTGCTACAGAAAGTTAGGGATTCTCAGCGTGGTTAACACTCTGCTGCCCCAAAACCACCTGATGGGCAGAGCCCTGTGAGGAGGACAGCCCCAAAGCCCTGTACCTTTCATGCCGTGGCCCTTGGTCACGCCGATGACATCGATCATCTCGTTCTGGCTGAAGACACTGTGCACAGAGATCTGCTTCTCCAGCCTCTCCCGGACCCAGTCGACCTTCTCAGGCACTGTCCCCCCATTCAGCTGGATCTCCATGATGTGGGCCTTCTTCTGCCTCAGTGGCAGCAGCCTCATCTGCAGCACACAGTGCTTTAGGGTGACATGTGGCCCCTCACCCCACAGACAATGAGGGGCACAGGGGTGAGCAGAGCCACTGCTTCACCTCTCTGCCACAGTCACCCCCTTTCACAGCAGCCCTGGGTCAGCAGCTCGTTATATCTGGGATTTTACAGAGCCAACTCCTTGTCCTTGAGCCCAGAGACCCTGTCTGGCCTTGAGCCAGCTCAGCTCTCCTCCACACCCCAAAGCAGCCCTTAACTCCAGGGATCAGCATTAAAATGAGGCCCACGTGTATCCAGCAATCAGCATCTGGCAAAACTGTGCCTGCCCGTGGGGTTATTTTTGCCCAAAACATTTGACACCAGTTGCTAATTTGAGGTGATCATGAGGCCCGAGGTCCTTTGCTGACACAGGACTCAGGCTCTGCTCTCCTGCTCTCCTCCACGGGGTGTGTGAGCTCCCATAGGGATGTGGGGGCTCCCCAGTGATCCCAAACCACAGCCCCATGGCAGTCCTGGAGCAGGAGCTCTGGCAGGGCACTGGGAGGTCAGGAGGCAGCTGGAAAAGTCAGCCAGCACCTCCCATCACCATCTCACACCCTCTGCTCTCTCAGCCTCTGTGACCCCACCAAAACACCCCCTGGTCCCATTTCCAGGGGGCTGAGGAAGCCCCCGAGCCTCCTGCCCATGCCAGGGGGAGGCTCTGACCTGTGTGTGCATAATGACACGGATGACCTTGCAGTACTTCTTCATGGCTGCAAAATCCTTCTCCAGCTGCCTTTTGCCAGCCTCATCCTGCCATTTTTTGCAGTACTTGGTGAACGCCTTCTTCTTGCTCTTGTGCCTAAGGACAGAAGTGGTTAACACCCATCAGAGCTGATAAAGGGCTTGTGACAGCTCAGAGAGGGGACAGGTCACCTTGACAGCCACCTCCTCGGAGGCACAAGGAACCTGTGGATACCTGAGCCTCACCTGACAGTCAGGACCTTGGGGTGGGAAGAGGGAGGTGGATAATGAGCCGTGAAAAGGGCTTGTTCGAGGGTAATTCAAACCTTTCTGCATGAGGAATGCGTTTGTCTCCCACTGACTGACTCAGCACCGTCAAAACAGGCGCAAAATCAGAGAAAGCAGGGATCAGAGGATTGGCGTGGGTTCGTCTCCATGGCACTCACAGGAGATTCCTGCAGCCAGGAAATCACACAGGCACTTCCCTGCTACCTGTGGCTACCCGAGCCTCACCTGACTGCCAAGGG